GTGTTTCCTTTAGGATTTTTTTTAGCTGTGGCGGCAGGCCTTTTTTTTACACAGATCACCAACTACCTGTGCCGTTATTTAAAAGACAAATGTCAGGAGCGCAATACTAGAAGTCAAGATAGCATTTATGTAATATCCGGCAAGCATGCGGATCTCTCTGTTTGCATGCCGATTTCCTCTGTTCGTGCACAAAACTTCTTGCACGCCCCCTCAAATTTAAGCTGCTTCAACAGCGCATATCTTCTTGTGCGCTCTCAAAATAACCCCGCTGCTGAAGTGCGATTTAGTGCATTTATGTAACGAGTTTGTCTCCAGCATTTAATAGATTTGCTAGGAATATTTATAAATGTCTTCAATAGACCTACAGAGCAGCATTAATGCGTCCTGAAGTAAAGTGAAACAGCTATTTGAAACTGGCCTCACGCATCACGCACCTGTCAGTCAGTCAGCACGTCACCTGAAAGGGTTAATCAAATGACACACAGCACTACTACAGTTACAAAAAAGTTTGTGCTGTTATAATTCACTTACCTTTTAATACGTTTTGGTGCGATTTCCTCCTGCTATTAAAAAAATTAAATGTTTTGAATGGAAAGCTGTATGTAGCTGTAATGTAGTCGTGGCGGGATGAATTTTGGCGTGGCGCCCCGCCATGGAAGAATGAATGTAGCAGAAACCATGAGAAATTATGTAAAATTGCCGCTAAATGAAACGAAATTCAGTCATTAATTTCCAGGTTTAGTCCCTTTATTAATCTGGGGTCGCCACAGCGGAATGAACCGCCAACTTATCCACCATATGTTTTTTTAAACAGCAGATGCCCTTCCAGCTGCAACTCACTTCTGGGAAACATCCATACACACTCATACACTATGAATAATTTAGAGTACCCAATTCACCTGAACCACATCTTTGGACTGTGGGGGAAACCGAAGCACCCAGAGGAAACCCACGCGAATCCGGGGAGAACATGCAAACTCCACACAGAAACGCCAACTGACCCAGCCGAGGCTTGAACCAGCGACCTTCTTGCTGTGACGCAAAAGCACTACCTACTGCGCCACCGCGTCACCCACAAAATGAAATATTTACAAAAATTTTAAAAACCATTTTCTTTCCTCTGACTCCACAACACACATTTTCAATTTAACAGTGGTCAGAATTTATTTTAAACTCAAAAAGAATTAGCGGCATGCAACAAAATGTGTTGTTTATATTGACGGCATGCTTTACACATGTTTTGCTTGCTTGACAATAGCTGCAATGTATAAATTACTTTGGAACATTGCAGAAAGAAAATGCTGTTAAAGTACAAATGTTTTCAAAATAAGTCTTAACCTTTTGTCTATAAGTTATAGGATTAAAATGCTTAGATTCCATTTTTTTTTTTTTTTTTAGATATTCATATGTAAGTTAGTTTTATCCAGCCTTGTTTTCCCTAAAATCACACTACCAGTCACAGTGTGTACAAAGTCAGTCAGTCAGGTGAGCTCCATAAGGAAGTCGCCGTAGTGTCCTGTTTATCTTTAATCAAATAGGCTCCGCCCATACAAGATCCTTAACAGGCTGGCTCATGATGTCACGGGATGCATTTTGAATTTGTTAGCAAATACACTACAGTCCTGCAGGGAAATGTGTTTCCTGACAGTCTACTGTAGAAGATCACTCAACTATGACTGCAAATAATATATGTGACCGGCCGTAATGTTCATGTAGATCACCCATCTGAAGCTTAAAGCCAAAATCCTCCCCAGATCAGCACTTTATGAGTTAAAATCTAGACAACCTGAATGTTATTCCAACTAGATTGATTCAGAGTTTCCTTCTCTTCATCTGCAGCCCTCGGCCAACTCTGAAGATATGAGAAATCACTGGTAGAGATTGAGACTCAAATGTGAAGCCAGACAGAGGATTAAACACCTCGCACAGATCCAACAGAGAGATGAGGCTCAATACCACCACAAACAATTTAGAAAATCAATTTTTTAAGATGCACTCAGTAAAATATTAAAATATAAACAACACTAAGAAGGCATAAGCAAAGTTCCAAGAGATATAGGATGACTTTTTCAGGGATTTTCAGGAACATTTGTTAATGTTAATATTCTAGCTTAAAATATATTAACAAACATGCACACACATACATGGGACATTCTATCAGAAACGTACACTATCTGTCTCTGAAAAAAAAGAGAAATACAGTAAATAAAAAGTATTTCATCCCAAAAATGTCTCAAATGGACAGATGATTGGTTTCTGTGGGTTGGTCTATAAAGGAATATGTCATTAAATTGGTTCCCAGATTTTTGTTCTTTATTAAAAACATGTTACAAATTTACAAACCCTGTCATTGTCCTTGTCCTCAGCCCAACTGAACATACAGCTTCAATATTTTTGTTATGCTAAAAACTGTTATTTACAAAAACAATCTTCAGAAACAGCAAAGTTTAAGTTGTTTTCATTCACACCAGCTGATTAAAAACATCAAATTATAAATAAATTCAACAAATAAATACTACAGATGTATAATACAGCTAAATTTACAATTGAAGAGTTCAGATGCAAAAACCTCTAAGCACCCTCTGATTTTTTTTTCTTGAAATAAGCATTTTCTTAGCCTGCTATGTATTCATTGAGTAATTTCTCTTTTAAGTCAATTAATGTTATTTTCATTGCCTTTAGTCTGAAATTAGTGAACATAAATATCGGAGTTTTTGAAAAATGCTCATTTTAGAAGAAAATTTTAGATGGCACTTAGAGGTTTTTCCATCTGAACTCTTCAATTATCCCCAAGTCTGTCCTGTCAATTTCGCATTAAATTTAACATCAAATGTGTGCATTACACCTTTAATGCTACAATTTAAAGAAAGTAACATCATTTGATGGAGATGACAGTGATTAAGGATGCATTCTATCTATTAATAGCAAGAAATGCCAAGATAAACTTATGAAAGCCATAGTACACTTGCTGTCAATTTTGTAGGTTAAATAATCTCTTAGTTATATAGTCATTCATTCATTCATTCATTCAATCATTCATTTTCTTTTCAGCGTTGTATCTTTATTATCAGGGGTCATTACAGCGGAATGAACTACCAACTTATGCAGCTACGGTTTACGCAGCAGATGCACTTCCAGCTGCAACCCAGCACTGGGAAACTCCCATATACACTCATTCACACAAATACACTACAGCCAATTTAGTTTATTCAATTCACCTACAGTATAGCGCATGTTTTTGGACTGTGAGGGAAACCGGAGCACCTAGAGGAAACCCACGCAAACACAGGGAGAACATGCAAACTCCACAAAGAAATGCAAACTAGCCCAACTGGGGCTCAAACCAGCGACCTTCTTGCTGTGAGCCGATTATGCTACCCAATGCACCACAGAGACACCTATATTGTCATTGTAAAGGTTTTCATATTGAAGTTGTGTTTTTATTATTTTCTGTATTTTTTTAGTTTTTGTTTATTTTTTGTTTATAGTTACGTTTGTATTAATTGGATGTCATTTTTAAATTGTAGATTTGCTGTTGTTTAAAATAAAAAAAATAAATAAAAAGGATTCTATAATTGATTTTGTCTGATTTTTTGAGTAGGACAAGCTTAAAGGTCAGGCCCTGTCACATTTTTTATAAGTAAAAATGTACGTTTCTGATAGAACGTCCTACATACATACTGTACATGCACACATATACATATATTAATATTATACACATATCGTCACCTTAGAATTATATGTTCTTTCTGACATTTTTGTCAAAAATGAGTTATTGACATATTCTTATTAAAAGACAACTTATTTACATTATGGGATGTTTTTTATAAGTTTTTCACATTTTAAGACTTTTTATTTAAAATAACAAATGTTACAACACATACTGTTTGCTTTGGAATGCAAAAACTTTAAAGCTCAATAACTCAAAATCATTCAGAACACAGATAGAACCTTTTAATTCCAAGGTGACGATATATTAATATATTAACCAAACCACATAACCCTAACTTTTACAATTTAAAAGCAGGTTTGACATAATTTTAGCAGAAATACTGAAGATTTTAATTTCATTATTTTAGCAGAAACTAGAACTATGAGGAATATTGTATCAGGATGAAAAAAATTTTGAACATTCTGCGATTAAAAGGTAGGCATGGGCCGGTATAATGTTCTAACAGTATGATAACCTTGGATAAAAAGATCATGGTTTCATGGTATTGTAATTATTGCTCTAAAATCTATTCTTTTTAATTGTCTGGGTAAAAAACAAAAACCTTTTTTCTGCTTTAAACACAATGACTGCATCCCGAATTACATACTTTCATACTATAGTACACTAAAAACAGCATGCGAGCTGAGTAGTATGTCCAAATTCAATTCGAAAAACAGTATGCGAGAAGTACCTGGATAACCTACTAGTTTCAGCAAGATTCTCAAGATCACATTCAATGGATGTTGCGCTATCCCATCATCCTCTGCGAAAAAATTCATGAATGGGAATGAAGCGGGTGTATCACGTGATGATCACAAAATGACATCTGTAGTACGTCCGAGCTCCTTGATACTACTCACATTCATATTGTAAAGAACATACTTTTTAAATTCGAATGCAGTACCTACTGAGTAGTAGGCGATTTTGGTTGCAGCCAATATATTTTATTTTGAAAAACATTTTAAATATTTTGTAGCAGTTTTTGTCAAGCTAAATAATTCAAACGAATCATTGACTTCTGCTGTCTTCATCAAAAACACTGATTTCTTTACAAGTTAAATCGGCATCTTTAAATAGCTTTTCTGCTTAAAATACTGTTGCCCTAAAAACAGTTTTAAAAAACGTAAAAAAAAATCGTACAAATAAATATCCTAGGAACAGTATAACAGAAACTTTTGGCAGTTTTAAAACCTTGCCTTTTCCAAACCACGATAGGCCTACCTTGAAAACGGTTATCGTCCCATGCCTAAAGGTAATAAAATAAAGCAACAAAAGTTTCGGTTTCTTGTACAATCTGAATGTTTTGCTTCATAGGACCTCAATGTACCATCAGAACCCACAAGTGATTATTTAGTTTTCTATATCCACTAACTCCCACTTTATGAATCACCATAAAGTTTTTCAGCATACTATCTACTTTAATTTCCTGATGAAAATGAAAAAGTCTCCACATCTTGGATGCCCTCAGGCTAACTAAATGAAAAGATCATTTTCATTTTTGTGTGAACTATCCCTTTAAAAACACCAAAGCTGTATCTAGACAGCATTCAGAGAAATTGCAGCGTTCACAGCCAACATCCGACATCCACCATAAACCCAAAGAGACATTTACACCTGTAGACTTTGTACTTGAATACCTGTCTTCAAACACAATGACTGCAGCTTACCTTTGATACCCCCTTCGTGCACAATTCCTAATATTCATTCTCTGCGGCTCAAGTGTGCTCACAACAATATTTAACCCGCTTGTGACCTGTAATTCACCTGCAGCACTACAGGATCGCATAAGGTATAATTACAATAAACACATCCACTTACTCAATAAAAAAACTCGCTCCTTCTTTCGTAAAACCTTCCTCCCAACCTGGGGGCAGATCTAGGAGGCAAGAAAAGAACACATTTGCCAAACTTTTAGCCTTTCGTTTTATCTATGCACAGGCAACGCGAAAAAAGCAGATAAATGTTTAAATCTAAATGGTTAAACGCACGCATTAACGCACTAACCGGATCGGATCATGTGTCCAGAATTGACAGGTTGACCAGTGCGGGGATGAAGCCAAGTAGTGGCGCGCGCTTCATCGCTGCCAGGAAAACAAACCACCTGTTAGCGATGCAATTGGCTGGAAAACACTCGAACGCTATGAGAAAGGAATGCTTTCTTAGGCAAGAGTAAATAAATATATCCTCACTCAATGAAAAAGACCCTGCCGTCTCTGCACACTCCATAAGAGCCGTTGTCAGGTAAGGTGTCCCGCCGGAGCGGCGCCGCCATTATTCCCGTGTAAAGTCCTGTCTACCTCATATTCCCTCCTCACTGTCCTCCCTGTGCAGCGATCAGCGCTCGGGCAAAAGGCGATTAAAGGGGAGGGCTGACTTTGCACTTGGCGTTCAGTGAGCGAGATTATTAGCCGACGGAAAAATATTAATTCCTTACAGTATGCTATAAAACACAGATCGAGATAGGCTAGTCGTTGCCCACTCGTTTGTATTTTTATATGACGTGTTTGTGTGCATGTTTTCGTTTTAGTGATTGATGATGCATTGAAATGAATTTGTTTATGTGTTTGATTCTGTTGAAGAACAGCCTGTTCTGTTGCTAGGTGCTTTATGAATGCATACAGTGCAACTATTGTTACACAAGTTAAAGGAGTTCACCTGAAAATAAAAATGTACTTGCTATTTACTCATGCATCATGCAGATGGTTCAAATGCTTTGATTTTTTTAATAAAAAAAAATACTTTTTTTTTACACAAAATAATGAGATATTTTCAAGAATGTTGGAAACCTGTTACCATCAACATTCATAGTAGGAAAAACAAATAGTACTGAAGTCAATGATTATACTCCAAAATTAAAAAAAAAATATATATATATGTTTTTGTGGTAGACATAAGAAAGAAACTCAAATACGTTTTAAAATGTGGAGGGTGAAAAAACGATGCCAGAATTTTCATTTTTAGCTGAATATTCCTCCTATATTTACACAGATGGAGATTTGTTAAAGATGATTCAAGTTGTGGCATTTAATTATTATTATTATTATTATTATTTGGTATGTTTTTAAATCATTAAAGAGGCATAAAATGGCTTGACTCATTAAATTACATTAAATATTTATGATCAATTCTGTTAATATTTTAATAATAAGTAATTATACATATATTATTATCGAATTGCACTTCAAACTTTGCTGCTTTATAGTTATAGTTAGTTACTTAGTTATTGTGGTTGGGTTTAACTATGATGCCTATATTTTAATTTGGAGATGTTTTGATTCATGTTTTATTATTTTCTGTATTATTATTATTATTATTTTATTTTATTTTATTTTTTTCAGGGCTTGACATACATTTTTTTTCATCACCAGCCACTGTGGCTGAGTTTTCCAACATTACTAGGCATTCATTATTTTCACTTGGAACAATTTTGTTGTTGGGAAATATATATTTGATATGCATAAATTTGACTTTGGCATGCTGAAATTACTTGATTTAAATTGTGTTATGTCCACATGCCTCCTTAACATTTTTTTACATGACTTTTTAGAGCTCAACACTAAGGATTAACCATTTTTCTTCTCTGATCAGACCAATCAAATTATTTCCTTGCCACAAATAACAAAAAAATGTGCCAAAACAAGCTAAATTTAGCTGTATACAGTACATACACTTTTTATTTAACAAAATTTTCTTAAAAAACAATTGACATTTAAAAAAATTATTATCATTTATCTAAAACTACACACAGTAGTTTGTTCAGGTCCCAGATCATCAGGTCATATAGATAAATGGAGAGTTATCTTCTATTAAAGTAATGTTATTGCAAAGGATGATAATTAAACCATAGTAACAAAAATAACTGTAAGCAAAAGAAAGCAGGTGAAAAACATTCTGTGTGTGATAATGAAAGGATGATCACGTGCACACATTAATGTTAGGCCCATTGATAATCTGTTCAAAGAATGGTAAAAGCGAAAGCGGCAACAGCTGCTGCATACAGTACAAAAAATATGGAGATGTCTTAAAAGCAGCAGGACTGTGGGTGCACCATTTTTTCCAATCTATTTCAAAGAGAAACAATCGCACCAGTTGCGTTTCCAGGCACAATTGTTTTGCGCAAGGAAACAAGAGCTTTTAAGCACTTCCGCACATCACATCAGCTGTTCCTCGCTTACTACATCAGTGAGCGAGGATCGCCTATTTGCCTGCGTCTCACCGTGCGCCTGATCATCCTCATTTGGTATTCACCTGCTTTCTTTTGTTCGCCTAAACAGTCATCAATCTATCTGCTTCTCAAATCTAAGAACACATTTGCACATATACTGACAAAGGGTCATAAACATTCTAATCTTTAGTGTCAATGCAGCAATGACAAATTAAAAACTATTTTCAGCCAGCCAAAGTGGCTAGTAGGGTGTCTGTCTAAACCGCCGCAGATGAAATCTACCCGCATTTGGTGGGTGTTAATGTCAAGGTCTTATTATTATTTTATTTTATTTTTATTTTATTAAATGGATAGTTTGCCCTAAAATAAAGATTTTGTCATCATTTACTCCACTTGTTCCAAACCTGTTTGAGTTTCTTTCTTCTGTTGCACTCCAGCTGATAATACTGGCATAGCCCCCCTCTAGAGTGTGTCCTCACTGCAGCCTGTAGCATGATGACATACTGGATCAGGTCCAATATGTAGTGGATGCACATGCGTGATCGCTTGTTGCTAGAAAAGAATTATTCATATTAATTATTAAATTACTTGTATTGCTAGTGGAGGCAGAACAGCGAGAGGAAGGTGAGGCAGGTCCATGAGGCACCAGCAGATCCGGGTCGAGGACAAGAGGCAAGTCTGAAGCTTGCAAGTCTGAGGCCCTGAAGCTTGAAGCTAAGGCAGATTTGGGAAAGTCAGATCTGGGTCAGGAGGCTCTGTTGAATCTGGAGTCACTGGTGGATCAGGAGTCTCTGGATCAGAAGGTTTTGGAGAATCTGGAAGCTCTGGCAGTGGCCATTTTTGGAGTTTAGGCTGCAATGACTATGACAGCTCTGGCAAAGATTGGCATTCTTGGGGGCAGTGGCATCAGTGGCTCTGGCAGCTTTGGTCCTGCAGGAAAAGCTCTGACAGGGGCACCAATTCTTATAGCTCAGGCAATGGCAATTCTTGATACTCTTCGAATAGAAACTATGACAGGTAAAGACTCAGGACAGGTAGCCATCTTGTGATCTGACGGTGGACTGGCAGCTGGTATTTTCGGAGGTGCCAGACTAGTAGGCACTAGAACTGTCGAATACCAGGATGCATTGGAGCTGCAGGCTGGCACTAGGGATGTGCTGAGGTAAAACAGGTGTTTCGACACAATGTCAAGATCCCGAACCGCAGATGTTTGAACACTGCTCTGAAACAATTTAAAACACCCAGGTCACGTGACTAAAGCAAATCAATGGATTGGTCATTTAACAAGCATTCCAAGCCCTGGCGAATCTGCATTTAATTGACAGGGTCGAAAACAAAACACATTACAAGAACAGAGTAATATAAAATAATTTTAAATGACTGTAATTGCTTCCTGGATTGAAACACTATTTGTCTGCATGCCAGTCAGGAACACTAACCACTCCACTAAATCATTTGATATCTCAACTATGCACTGTAGAGTATAAGTGCTCAATTCGCGTAACTGTTACTTTGTTAAATTTGTTTCAGAGCAATACTTAGAAAATGACCACTTGGTGTCATTGTAGAGTTGGGTTTCAAAGCATTTCGAAGCTTCGACACATATCCTTATGCTTTATTCACACCAGATCCGAAACGCGCAAATAAATTGCACTATTCACGCGTAAATAGACGCGTGACCATTTTGAGTTTACTCACTTCATTCACACATCAAATCGGCTTCATTAGCGTGTCAAATTCATTTCACAACAGACGTGGATTTGCGTCATAGGTGGGGCTTCTGTCTGCCCGGTGATTCTAGCTTCGTTGCTAAATGACTAACATGGATTTAATTGAGAGAATAGCTGTTTATGTGCTTTAGGAAGGCTGATAAACAGCGTAGATTCGTTTGGAGCCGTGCCTGAATCCACTAGATTCATTCAGAGGTGCACCCAGCTCTGTGAGTTCATAAACTCCTCCAGAAACTATACCTGGATGATTGAAGCGCTCAACTTGCTCAATTTGCTCCTCCTCATTCGTGCGTATTGCGTTGCAGGATGTCTATTCATGTCTTTGCATTAGCTTAACATGTAGATCACTCACGCTTGATGCTTTATATGTGTCTGGTGTGAACGCAGCATTAGAGTATTTGAGTGTTTCACGAATCCTCGCTCTGCCCACCACTAACTGGCAGTGCGTCTAGGCATGCTGACCTGGATGCACTGAAGCCGCAGTGGGCCTGAATCCTGGAGCAGCCACAATGAGAGAGTAAATTACGGGCCATTTTAGTCAGTAATCAGCAGGTGTCAGTATAATGATTAGATTATGTCCAGATTATGAGTATAGTGTGCATGTAATGAGAACAAAGTAGTGTGGGAGGTGTAGTCCAGGTGGTAGTTGAGATGAGATAGTCGAAGTGCCATAGTGGGTCTAGGCACTCCAGCTGAGAATTGGGATTCTTACATGGTATTTTGTATTAATGTTCTATAGCTGCATTTTTATCAGTATTCTTCATAAGACCTTGATTTGGGTTCAGCAGTAGAAAGAAATTCATAAATGTTTACAACCCATTAAGTGTGAGTAAACAATGAGGAAATGTTCATTTTTGGGTGAACTATTAACCAGTTTACGTATTTTCACTTACCAACTGCAAAAATTAAATGCTTGGCTGAGTGACTCATTCTAACTAACAAGTTGCTAAGATCTGTTAGGTTTTTACTTGTACAGCAGTCCTATTTTTTGAGGACTGCTGAATGTGTCCTAGAAGAGTTCAACCTAAAAGGTTCACCCACTTTTTCATATGGTTGTATTGTGACATCTAGAGGCATGGCAGTGTAATGCAACGGTTTCACACTATCATAAATGTGCTCATGAATACGCATGATTAAATTATTGAGGTGAAAACTAGACGCATCTTTGCTGATGTTTGTGTCTTATCCTGTTGTTTTGACAAATAGTAGAAATTCTAAAGACCATGCATGAAGTTTTGGGATTTGATCATTTTGTCCATTTCCTCAGCCTACAGTATGTTTATGTTTTTACCACAGCATCCATCTTTTGTTGACTGTCGTCTGCTAGCTAAAATTGTAGGCTGTCACAAAATTGAAATCACCGTAAGCTAGTTTCTTGACAATAATAAGTGCACCCCGTGTGTTTGATCAGTTTGTATTAAATGATGTCCAAAACTAAAAAATCTGTTTTCATTTCCTCACCCTTCACTTGTTCCAAACTTGTTTGAATTTTTGGTTCTGTTTTATATTAAAATGGCTTTAAGTGTCTACAATATACAGTGCTTAGCATAATTGAGTACTCTCCATTTTGAAAATGAATATTTTTCTCCATTTCTCAGTGAATATGCAATGTATTTGGGTGCGTTTAAACAAGATTTATTAAACAGATATATTTATTAAAATAATATTTTAGTCACCAAACATATTTA